GATTGTAAAACTGCCTGATTTCAACATAACTCTACAAAGTTGCAATTGAATTCCCCCAAATAATTTTAAAAGTCTAAGCTCTCAGAAATGCAATACAAGTAAATTCCAACAGACAGTCCAGTCTACAGTTTAATTTATTCGATTTGGTTTGTTTTGACTGTAGCTTACCACTGCCACAGCTTTCAACTCAAATTCCTTCAGACTGAGACAGTATGCAAATAAGATAAAGTTGCTATGAAAAAGAACTACTTTATAGCTACTGTAATCATTTTGGTTTTCAGATGATAAAACTAATCCAATCTGTTTCGATAAATAAATAATTTGCTGCTTCGCTTAATTTGTTAATTTTTCATGAGCATAATTATTTTAAATGAAGGTCAAGTTATGTCATTGGATTCTCAGAAAACAAGGAAGGAGCTACTGCTTTAATCCGTAATTGTTGCTCAAGGTTTTTTCTGCCTTCTAGTAAAGCATTTTAAAATTGAGATACTACAAAACTCATTCATGTGAATTAGCGTGTAAAAACAAAGAAAGATTAAACCATATTTTTGCTGTTTTTCATAGTCAACCAGCAGCATGCCGTCTTCTGCATGCTTGGCAAGAGCTAACGTTCAGGATTCACACCTTGTTTACACACGTTTACAATGCTAATTACAAACCACGCTCATGAATATCAACAATGAATTAATCTGACAAATACATATCGATAGTTACATCACCTTTTTGGTTTAATTGGATCTTTCGTACCAGAAGTCGGGCAGGAAGACAACATTTTCGCTATTGAATGGTACCTTCTCCAGACTGGTCAGTCTTTGATTTCCAAGAACCGTTCACGTGACATTGGCAAATAGACTTTGATTTCCAAGAACTGATTCACGTGACATTGACCTCGTTAGGTCAGCGTTGAAGCGGATTCTGTCTTCGGCCATTGCACTTTGCTAGCCGGAGACTATAAACAAAAATTTGAAAGGAAACACCAAGCTGGCGTGACCAGAGGAAGCTTTGAAAACTAAATGTAATATCACGAAAGAAAAAAATAATAAAAGCTAATATTTACTCACAGGAAGTGTTGTTTACGTCGTCCTTGTTCTTTAGTACTGATTTCCAGCCATTTCTTTAAAATCTTCGCTTCCGCTCTAAAGAAGAAGACATCCTTTTTCTTCCTGTGGCGTGACAAGAAGCTGGAACGTCGTGTATTTAGACAATGT